GGAGCAGCGGTGCGATGTCGGGGAGCTGAAGCGGACCGAGGAGCCGAGCGACGCGGGGGGACTGCCTGGAGGTGACCCCGTGGAGCAGGAGGGGATAAGGGACTCGGCGGAGAAGGGGGCACTGGAGAGGGATGCCCTGACTGATGAGGATGGCGAGGACTCCGAAATAGAACGAAACCTTCCAGTTTCAGCCAGACCTGCCTGTGCGAATAAATTAATAGACTATATCATAGGGGGAGTTTCCAGTGAGGAAGAGAGTACGGATGATGAGGAAGACTGGGATGATGACGACGACGGGTTTGATAGCGAAGGGCTCCCCTCGGATTCAGATGCCGGTAGCCAGGATGGGGAAAGGCTTCATCTCTGGAATTCCTTCTACAGTTTGGATCCGTATAACCCTCAGAACTTCACAGCCACCATTCAGACATCTTCCAGCGATCAGGGAAGGAATATGTCAGAAGTGGAGGAGGAGGAAGATTCTTCGTGGGCAGAGGAGTCTTCAGGCTCTCCTCACCCTAGTTCTGAAGAGGAGGACGAGTGGGACTGTAGCAGTGTGGATGAGGCAGAAAGCTTGAAACTTTGGAACTCGTTCTGTACCTCAGATGATCCATATAATCCTTTAAATTTCAAGGCAGCCTTTCAAACAGCAAAGAAAGGGACGCCTGGTTTAAAAGGAACCGAGAGGCCGAGTTCGGTCTTTTCTGAACGTAGCAACTTAACTGTCTGTCGGGTGCAGCTGGAAAAACATAACTGTGGGGTTCCTGACTTTGTGCAGCAGCATGGCGCTCTTTCTGGTGAGAAATGTGGAAGTACCAAGCGGAAAAAGGTATAGACTTCGCTTATATTTTTGTGATTTGGGGATGCTTAGGGGAAAAAAAAAAACAACCATCACCAACAACAAACCCACCTTGCACAAAGTGGTATGTGAGTGGGTGAGGTCACTCGTGCCAGGATTCCAGCCACGTCAGTAGGGAGATCATACCCCCGTGATTATTTGGCTGAAATGAGTGTGCCTCATCCTTTACACGTGATGGTAGATTTCGTAATTCAGTGGCACAGGGCAGAGAATTTCTTTTCTAGGCTTAAATTTCACTTTGAAGACGTAGTTTTACTTCTGTGTTTGTCTTCTAACATGGTTTTCGTATTCAGAGTAGCGATGACGAGAACTGTGACGTGTGGTTTTCTTATGGGAGGTGCTCGTTTCTGTCAGATAACGTTGATAAAGTATTTTAGGACCTTTGCATGCACGTAGTGTAATCAAGACTTTATGCACTGTGTTAGCATTTTGGGACTCATGACAAGCCTGCTGCAGTTACAAACATCTTATGGAGTAGGAAGAACTCTCCTGTTGTGGGTTAACACGTGCCACTGAAGTTTCAATACTCCCATTTCAATTTGAGACTATAATACTTCAGTAGTCACTTACAAAAATAATGCAACCTGGAACCAAGCTTTTCAGCACAAACTGGAAGTGTAATGTGTTCATGAGGAGTTAGTGCATTAAAAAAGTGCTAATACATGCGCTAGGATTCAGGTAAATGGTAAACAAATTGGTCCTCTCTTGAGTTTTGTGGTGCTACAGATGCACAAGGTGGCTTTTCAGGCGGGATGTCTGAGTGTTGCCTGGTATTTCAGACGTTTGTATGAGTAATAGCTTGTGATACCAAGTCCCAGAGTAATACACTAGTGTGACAAGTTATCCAAATGGAAAAGTTATTTGGGGCCTGCTTTAGCGTTTGTTTGCTCCTTTCATTGAGAGCCTGGCTGGGAAGTAGCTTCCTACCTGTTTTTGCGAGGGCAGGTGGCGTTTGCAAGCTTAATGGTTCGCACAGGACACAAGCTATTATATTTCTGTGTAAATGGAAAATACTCCAAGGTAAACGCTTTCTGCAGGAGGTCCTTTGTAGCTGACAGCGTCTCTGGAATGCTGCAGGGTGGCACTGATGAGCCGTGCCACCAGTTCCTGCTGCTGCGACCTAAAACCTTGTTGTGTGTCTGGGATGTGCTTAGCAGTAGTAATTTTCTGACTCATTTATTGTTTGACTCCGTGATCTGTTGACATGGTGAAAGAATGATGATGTAGGTGCAATATTGAGCATGATGTTCCAAAATCCAGTAATTGTGCCCAAGGGTGTCTTAGACTGATGTAAAAAGGATGTAAGGTAGGAACTCGCCAAGGGACAGGCTGATGTAACAACTCCGTGTGCTTGAAAGCAGATGGTTCATTAGGCTGGTCTGCAAAACAGAGCAGAGACTGCCGAGCAGTGGCTGAGGTGTTCCCAGGAAATCAAGTCATTCATCCTACTCCAGGCTACTTCCTATCTCGCATCCTGCAATCAAACAGCAGCAGAATTTGTGTTTGTAAAGTCATATAACCTGGGACCATCCTGTTTCACTCAGAGTCAGCATCAAAACTCTGCGAGGATGAGGATGTGGGGGTCTGATGGCCCTGCTTGCACAGACAGCTGGGCCGTCATTAGAATTAGATGACTTCTGGAGGTTTGCCACAGTCTCTTGTGGCTCCAGATCCTCAACTGCTGTTTGTTCTTGTAGGTCATCTCGTCCATAATTCTCATGTTATCTTCAAGGTTTCTGCGACGGTTGGAAGATGGCTCTACCACACAAAACAATCTCTACACTTCTCATTGCATTAGCATGAACTGAGTGTGAAACTAGGGTGCTGTGTTAATAAAACACAGGAATGGAGCAGCAAGTTTTTTTGTACCTCCCCACTTTTTTTCCTGACCTTCCAGAAGTAGCTGTCCTGCAGCAAATTCAGCAGTCGTCTGTAACAACAGCGTTTGGCTTGTTTTCAGCAATTAGTCCTAGTCTGAGAGCTGATGGATGCTGACAACTAGTTTGTCCTTCAGTTTTATGGCTTTTGTACAGCTAAATGAAAAGCAATTCATAATTCAGTAGGAGCCTGAAATAGTCTGGCTTTTGCTTATCGCTCAGTAACAGAAAGACTTAAATACTTAGTGTAGTAATAGCCTAAATACTGTCAGATTTAGATCCTGAGCCTGTAAGTTTCTTTGTTTTCTTAAAATAGCTTAATAGTTCTTAAAAGTGGCAAAGAGTGAAAGTTTCCACATGTATTTTAAAGTGCCATGGCTTTGACTTCGTTTCACGTCATGAACTGAAATACCCTGGAATTCGATACCAGCTTTAAATAGATGGGTTTGTTCCAGTCACGTGGTGATGAGTGCTGCTTCCTCGCGTGTATCGGAGTGGGATTTCTTTTCCTGGTGCTGAAGTACAAGCTGACTCACAGGATTACTTACTCTACAGAACAATGATTCTTCCTCTCTTTTTATTGTGTAAGCTTCTGCAATCAGATGTTGGCCTGTAGCGTGTTTCTAGCCTTGAGTGAGTGTCCTGACATCTGAGTAACCCGCTTCAGCTGTATCTGTGAGGTTGTAACCCGCTTCAGCTGTATCTGTGAGGTTGTAACCCACTTCAGCTGTATCTGTGAGGTTGTAACCCAGTGCTGATGTCGAGGGTATGTTTCCTCACAGGGAACACTGTGTGATCTGCCAGCAGCCTCCAGAAACCCCTTAGGCAGCAGTTTAGAAACTCTGTAGTAGTTTGAGCACTGCTTTTGGCAGAGGGAGAAGTCAGCACCTGGTCACTTTGAAAGCTGAGAGGTGAAATATACTCTGGCCTAGCTGGTGCAGAGACCTGGTATGAACTGGTAGCATATCTGAGGCTTTTTGCTATTGTAGGTATTTAATAACTTCTGTTAAAAAAAAAAAAATCATATGTGCAAATAAATATTAAGCTCCTTTGTCATGAGTGCTTGGCTAATGCTTTACCAAATGACTTGTCTTTTCCAGGTAACCTTCCTTGAAAAAGTTACTGAGTATTACATAAGCAGTGAGGAGGATCGTAAAGGACCCTGGGAAGAGCTTGCACGAGATGGATGCAGGTTCCAGAAACGTATCCAAGAAACAGAAGAAGCCATAGGATACTGCTTCACAACAGAGCATAGACAAAGAGTATTTGATAGACTCCAAGAAACCCTCCTACAAGAGGGTTGATCTCTTCTAGCACCTTAAAAGATCTGGTAGTTGCGTGACCCTAAGCACTCGTGAACATCTTCAGAACAAGAAGTGGCAGCTGCATGTGCTGTTTTGAAGAGGGGGGAGAAGTGGGGTTTTAACTCTTTTTTCCCAGTTTGATATTCAGCTGATGAATATACCTGTGTGTCCCATTTTGATATCCAGACAAAACCTTTTGAGTATCGTCAGGGGTGGGGGTGGTATAGTTGCATTCCTTTTAAGTAACACTTGAGAAACAGACTGCTTTAGGTTAAATCCATTCCAAAAATGCCTTGCCTGCCGTACGTTGAGAAGTGGTGACTATTGAGTTGGATTTTTGCACTTTGAAAAAACAAAACCTATTTTGAAGGAAATATTTATGGGGTTCAGAACCTAGTTATTGCAGTTTTGATTTAAAGTTTCTAGAGGTATGTGCTACTTTCTTGTGGTTCTCCATTTTCTCTAACTTGTACAAAAGCCTCAAATTTTGTTAGCTCATAATGTTAACTTTCCTGTGCAAAGCAGATAGTTTCTTCCTTCCTCTTAAGATCCCAGTTTTGCATGTAATGCAGTGTTTGGGTGTTTCTGTAATGCTTTGATGTCTGGATATTTCAGTCTAGCACACTGGGGGGTTTGGGGAAACTGTGGTGCTCTACAAGCCCTTTGGTTTGGCTTTATTTCAATAATACCTTTACCCAGTACTGTTCCAAAGGGTGTTGGCTGCTTGTGCACCAAACCTCTTTGCTTTCAGGGCAATGGAGGGCCTTATCCTGATCACTAATTAAAGCATCAAGGCTATGGCTGGTCATTTTGAGTTTAGGTAGCCATGCAAAGGGAACTAGGCCCTAGTTCTTTAGTTAATCTTAGAGTAACTTTGCTGTAATTGAGTCTGCTTTCTGAGGATGGATTGAAGTGGAGAATTCTTCATATTTCCTGTATCCAATATGCTCGTTCTGGTACTTGTAAGGAGAATTATCTTTGACTTAGGGAAACCTAAGGCTATGGATCGCTGTGTTCTGTACCAAAAAGCCAGTATTAATACCTCTGTGTGTCTGCACTTTTGTTCGTCTGGTACCGAAATAACATTTCACGTTTGGGGTCTGAAAGTTGAGGTCCTCGGTGGAAAGAAAACACTCCTTATTTATGTTCCTAATGTAAAATGTTGAATTGTTTCAGTCAAAATAAAAAAGCGGCACCATTTGGATGGGTGTTTGGACGTGAAGAATGTTGTGTGGCTGTTATCCAAGCAGGTATGAGGTCATGCAATGGAATAAAAATACTGAACATCAAAGAATTCCTATCTATTTGTATGAAGTTGTGTGGATAAATTATTTTTACTTGCTTCATTCAGCTGACTAGAATTGTTTCCCTTTAAGGGAGAAACCTAAAAACATTTCAGGTTTGTCATCTCATTAATGACTTCAATTTTTAATTCAAAAGAAAATTGCAGATACAGAAGAGCTTCACAGAGCTTTACTGGATTTTCTGCTTTATTGTGCCATTACTTTTAATTCTCTCTCAAAAATTTCAGAGTTTTTGGGTTTATACTTTATTCTTATTGCATGAAGTATGTTCTTCGAATATAAAAATTACCTTTGGTATGAGTTAGAAGTGTTACAGTCAGGAAATTCAGAGGGTGAACTGTGAACTACAAGTAGAGTTGTCGTGTAAACTTAAAATACATCTGAAACTTGAGCAGCCTTACAGAGTGGCTGCTTGGAAGCAAGGCAGCAATGTTGTTTTTCATCCCCATGACATAAAAAAATGCAATTCTCCTTTCCTACAAACGATAATTTTAGTTGTGAAATCGTAATTCTAATCATGCCCTCAAATCCTGTGAAATAACTTCTAGTTTTAAGAGTTCATTTCCCTGTGTCGTTGTTGATAACAGGTGTTCTGCTTTTTTGTTTAGGAACAGCACTCAAGATGATGAATGTCAAATCACAATAGAAAATTTGTTGGCTTATGGTCCAAGTGTGACTGATCAGTGAGAATGCTGCTCATTGCTCTTGGGAAAATGTTAGAGTCGTTTTTTCCATGACTCTCCTGGTTTCTTCGATCTTGGAGAACTTGTTGGTGCTTCTGTTACTCTGGACAACTCACTTGGCTTACTGGTGCTTATAAGAAGCTTTAGAGTGGTGTGAATTAACACCTGCAAATACTGATGCACTGTTTGCAGAGGCTTGGAAAAGGCTCCAGCTGGAAACAGAACTGACAAACTAGATATAAACCAGATTGAAAAGTGCCATTTCCAAAGTGCTTCTGATGTTGGAGAAATTATTTTTTTTTTCCAACCTGCAGTGTATCAAGCACTTGTAACACTGCTGATTCTCACTGAAACATACCTGCTTGGTAAGCTTTTTCCCCTCTCAGACCTTGTGTTTTCAAAATATCCAGTGTGAGGTGATAGGAAATTAACACTAAATCCATCACCATAAATGTCATCTTCAAGCCAAGCTTGCTTGTCCCCATTTTCCCTGTAACATATCTTAAAATGGTCATACAGGATGTGTATAAGTGCTTTGAGCGAGACAGTAAAAATAACACTTGTTGAACTTTAAATCAAAACTGTAATTATCAGATTTTATTTTTGTATAATTTAGAGAAAGTTAGAAAACCTTCAGCATTGGCTTTATACAGATTTTAATTGATTTGTGTCAAGTTTGTTGGGTTTTTATATCTAAAGTTATATTTCTGTACATAATAAAACTATTCAGAACTAATCTGTAAATTGTAATAAAGATATTTGCAAGATAAAGCCCAATTGGTTTTCTTTGAAAGAACTTACGGGAGACATCAAGTCACTGCGAAAGCACCGTTTGTGTGTGTGTTTAGCTTTATGAGAATATTAAATTCTTTTTTTGTCCCCTTTGATGTTTCAGAGGAGGCTGTGGTAATTTAGATGCGGGCACCCTTCCCTGTGAATTTCCTTCTGAACCAGTAGCTCTGCTGGTGAGGGCTCCTTGTGCTGATGAAGCTTTTTAATTAAAATACTGTGAGTGCAATTACTTGTTTTCAGATGAGGTGTTGGCTGGTGCGGGCAGGGATGTTCGTGTTTTGTTGCCCTAATTGAAGCTGAGTATTGAGATTTGGTTTTAGTTTGCTGACTGGCTAGCATTACTTTAAATATGAATACTGCATGGGTTTGAAGGTATTTCAGGGTTTTTTTTTGAAGTATTTTCAGGCTTCATGCTGCAACAAATTTGAGGTGTCACTTTGTGAGTAGGAGTGACTCACAAGGTGCCAAACATGCGATCTCTCTTCAATTAGAGGAGCCAGAACGCTTCCCTGTGTTCTACCATGCAGCTTTGTCCTATAATGCGGTGAATTATTTGTTCCCTTGTTTATATTTTAATGAACTGAAGTTAAATGGTTTTGGTAAGGAGCTGAGAATACACGAGAGCGTAGGAAGGTGGCAATGCCCAGTGACACTTAGTCCTGCCCAGCATTGTTATATTTAATGAAGGATTTTTTGTCGTGTAAAGCTGTGTCTATCACTCCGTGTTTTTTTGACTAGGGAATACCGTAATTCTGGCATGGTCTATCAGGGGTGTGAAGCCAGACTGCCTGGCAGGAGCTGGGTGCTCTCTGGGGCGTTGTGCCCCTCGGCTGGGGCTGGGTGGGAAGGAGGAGGCTGGAAGTGCTGTGCTGCTGGTGGCACGGACCCGGGCAGCAAGACCTGGTTTTAGACCTCAGAGTTATGGGGTGAAGGTGCCTGGAGGGGTTTTTGGGCACAAATCAGATTTTCCAGGAGTTCACTGGAAAACAGGGCTGGTCTGGCTGGGCGTGAGGATTTTAACCTCAGGCAAAACCCTGCTGACCAGCTTCCTTGGGAGCAGTGGTACTGATGATGAGCGTCACCAATACCGATGATGATGATGAGCGTCAGGGTAGCTCTGCTCTGCATGGGGCATGGTCATGGCATAGGAATCTCTGGAATGAGTTCAAGGGCTGCAGGTTGGTCCCATCTCTTCTAGAGCAACATTTTGGGGGAAGAGCTTTCAAGTTGTTGGCTGTTTAGTTCATGCCTTAAGGAAAAGTGCTGCTTAGAGCTCTGTACTGGGAATGTACTATATCCTACTCGCTCCTGTCTGGCAGCACAAGCCGTGTTTCAGCCCCTACTTGCATCTTGTGTGGACATCTCGAAAGCACCATGGTGCAGTGTGTGTTTCTGTAAGAGTATGTTTGTTTCTGGGTAGAAAACTGCTGGACTAGACAAGGACAAAAAGTTTTCTGAACTTTCTGCAATACTCTGTTTGAAATAGTGAACAAAGCTGAACACAGTTATGAACCACAGTGGCTTTTTAAAGTCATATTCCCCTGTTCTGGCTCTAAAATGTGCCTTCAAAATAAATATTGTAATTTCTCTTTATTCTGTGAGATAGCTGAAAGAAATATAGTTCGTGTGCTAAATGAAAGCTTCCCTGAATCTGGCAGTGCATCCAGATGCCATCTGGAATGTAGAAATCCCGCTGGGATTTCTTTGTTCTGTCAGCACTGAGGTCTGCAGTTGGAGTTGAGTTGACAATTTATCTGTGTTGGAGCAGAGTTGTTCTTGCTCTCGTAGCTGTATCTTCTCCGCGGGACTTAAGAACTTGTTTGTCGGCAAAGCACGCGGGGAGTAAACAAGCTGCTATTTTTGGAGTCGCTGCTGACAGCGTCCACTAAAATGCCATTTGCAAATTAATGCTGCCGTGGAGCTCGTTTGGTCCCACAAAAGCAAGTTTCTTCTGAAACTGGCAGGCAGGAGAAGACAATGGCACCGTGAGTCACGATTCCAGGGAGGGTCCGCTGCTTCCCAGCGGCACGGCCTCGACCTGGTGGGCTGTAACTCAATATAATCCATGGTTTATTTCAGTGTGGGGTGAGGGAAAGGAAGTCTTGTAAAAGCTATCCATTAGTCTTGAGGGTATAAAGTCTTCAAGCCCATTAGTAGCGGGCATCCATCTGCCTAATGCTCACGATAAGAGTGCTGGCAATAAAAGCGCTGGCTGCGGTGCAGCCGCCCCGGCTGTACGAGCACGTCGGGCATTCGTTGCTTTCCTCGCCTGCCTGGCGTTTT